TAACAGGAAGTGCACACTCAGTGTGTACTTCCTGTTAGTCCAGCCGGGTACAGGAGACAGACGCTCCCTGTACCCGCGGACCATGATACAGGGCTCGGCCACGCTACAGTGAGGGAGTGACAGAAGGGAGCGCTCCCTCCTGTCAGCCCCTCTCCTCAGGGCGGCTGCAGCATGAGGGGGGCCGGCGCTCCTGGTGGCACTCTGTCCCAAGGTACCCCCCACCCTGGTGGCACCCGGGGTGGACCACCCCCTCCGCCCCCCCTTAGTATGCCACTGAGTGTACGTGGTCTGCAATTATCTCAAGGTAGGTGGTACATGTCAAAGTAGCATCCACATGAATCCTGTAGGACCTAAGGCTTTCCAACAAAATATTGCTCAATGCATATTACTGCCGCCGCTGGACTGCCTACTTCCTCTAGTGTATCCTGCTGCTATCTCTTCCCCAGGTAAACAATGCGCACGCACCCAGTCATCCACCTAATCTAAAAGAAAATGAGATTCGTCAGACCAAGCAACGTTCTTCCATTGCCCAATGGTGCAATTCTGACGCTCACATTCCCATTGAAAACACTTTCAGTAGTGGACAGGGGTCATCATGGGCACTCTGACTATGGAGCCCTATACGCAGCAAACTGCGATGCACTGTGTATTCTAAAACCTTTTCTATCAAGGCTAGTTTTTCTGCATTATGACCTACAGTAGCTCTTCTGTGTGATCGGACCAGGTGGGCTAGCCTTCACTCCCAATGTGCATCAATGAGCCTTGGTCATCCATGGCTCTGACGCTGTTTCACCAGTTGTCCTTTCTGGCTTTCCACGTTTGGTTAGTAGTAACCACTGCATCCTGGGAATATCCCAAAAGACTTGCCGTTTTGGAGATGCTCTGATCCAGTTGTTTAGCCATCACTATTTGGCCCCTATCAAAGTCACTCAGATCTTTTCATATGCCCATTTTTCCTGCTTTCAACACATGGAATTCAAGAACTGACTATTCCCTTGCTGCCTAATATATCCCACACCTGGATAGGTGCCTTGTAGTGATATAATCAATGTTATTCACTTCGACTGTGAGCGTTTTTAATGTTGTGGCTGATCAGTGTATTTATCCATAGTTTAGAAAACAATACAAACAATATAAACATGTGAGGAGAAGTCAGTGTATACCTGCCTCTTAAAGAAAAATAAGTGGTATAAGTGAAGAAAAACATCTTTACATACTGGGCAACATGTTTCTACAACAAATTTATATATTTACATTAAAGTGCAACAGATATGTACAGGGTCAGTGCGTCCTATAGGCGACTTAGGCAGTTGGCTAGGGCACACCGGCCCGGGGGGTGCAAGTTTCAAGTGACCCAGTCACTCTGTGTAGCAGACCGCGGTGCAGGAGCTTCTGTTTCCCTGAGAAAGCACTTCCTTTCAGTCCGGTCGGGTACAGGAAGCTCCTGTATCGCGGTCCGCGATGCCCGGCCGGACTGAAAGGAAGTGCTTTCTCAGGGAAACAGAAGCTCCTGCACCGCGGTTCGCACCGCCTGGCCACGCTACACAGAGGTAGGAGTAACAACAGGGAAGGGAGGGGAGATGGCACTAAGGGACACTGGGAAGGAGGGAGAGGAGAAGAGACCACTAAGGGACACTGGGTGGGGAGGAGAGACCACTAAGGGACACTGGGCAGGGGGGAGGGAGGACATCCACTAGGGACACTTGGGGGGAGGAGAATTTCACTAATGGACGCGGAGGGAAGGAGGAGCCACTAAGGACACTGTGGAGGGAAGGAGAGGACCATTAAAGGACACTGGGGGGGGAGAGGAAAAGAGACCAGTAGCGACACTGGGGGAGGAGGAGAACTCACTAGGGACACTGGGAAGGAGGAGAGGAGAAGAGCCACTAGGGACACTGTGGGGGGTGGGAGAGAGACCACTATGGGACACTGGGTGGGAGGAGAGACCACTAGGGTCACTGGGGGTGGAGTAGGGAGAGGAGTAGAGACCATTAGGAACACTGGGGGAGGAGAGACCACTAGGGGACACTGTGGAGGGAGGAGGAGGAGGAGAGAAACCACTAAGGGACACTGGGAGAGGAGGAGAGAAACCACTAAAAGAAAAGAAGGGACACTGGGGGGAGAGGAGGAGACCACTAAGGGACACTGGGGAGAGGAGAGACCACTAAAGGACACAGTGGGGAGGAGAGACCACTAAGGGACACTGTGGAGGGGAGGGAGAGGAGGAGAGACCACTAAGGGACAGGGGAGCAGGGAAGAGCACTAAGGGACAGGGGGAGGAGAGACCACTAATGGACACTGGGAGGGGAGAGGAGGAGAGACCACTAAGGGACACTGGGGGGAGGTGGAGGAGAGACCACTAAGGGACACGGGGGGGAGACCACTGAGGGACAATGGGGGAGAGGGCGAGGAGGAGAGATCACTAAGGGAAAGATGGGGGTGGGGGGAGAACTCTAAGGGACAGGGGAAAGGAGAGCACTATGGGAGAGGGA